TTAGAAGCTCGGTGCCTATGCAAGTCACACTCTTAAGTGTCTGTGTGTAATTGTAGTCTGACAACCACACTTGGGTTACACTGTGGCTCTCACAGTGACACCAACATACTCCCAGTCTTCCCCCCATAAATATATGTCTTGTAGTGCACAGCCCTCTCCTGGATAATCCAAAAATATTAAGTCCATTATTCCTTTAAAGGAACAACATACACCAGTTTACCACCTTAAATGGAGTTACCCGGACACTAATTTAAACACAGTGGATTAGATAAAACAATGAAACAGGTTTATTAACTCCAAAGAGAAGATTTTAAAGTGAGTACAAGCAATGAGGAATCCAAGTCAGAAATGGTTACAAGAAAATAAAGGTAAAAATGTTTAGTGCCTAGCTCCAAAGGAAAGTTTCTCACCGCATGCTTCCAACAGTATTACTGTCCAAACTTTCAGGTCAGGATCCCTCCCCTAGAGTCCAATGGCTGTTTACTTTGTCTTCTCAGGTGTGGACAGGGAGGGGAGGGCACCTCTTGAGATGTTTGCTCCTCCTTTTTATAGTTTCAGTCCCTCTTTGAAAAACAATTTCCACTGAGAACCAAGAGACAGGGGGTCTGATGGATGAAGGAGACCTCATGCTATGAATGAAGGAACCCTTTGCTCAGATGCAGATCTTTGTCCCTGCCCCCTTTCTTGCCAAAGGATGGCCACTTGATAGGTGATGGCCTATCAGCTTTGTTGACACCTGGATGGGGCCATTAGTTTTCCTTTTGTCTTTAAGAAACTGGTTTAGTCTCTCCCCACACTCATCAGCATGATTTCAGCTTATGTTCATAACTTTACACATAATGTTGGTACATGCATTTTACTATGATATTACTGATCAGCATGTTATGAGTTTTCAAATGATGCCTCAAAAGGCATACTTCGTACAAAGATTACTACAACAGTGTTAGGGTGTGAATACAGGGGTACATTCCATCACATAAGGACATTGTCAAAGTAAGGGGTGTACAGCTCCCTATCTTCTTCCTAATTTGGCTCCCAATTCAGGAAAGCATCTCTAAAGCATCTCTAAGCAGGTGCATGTGGTTAAATCCTATATGGGAAGGCCCAGATCCATAAAGGGGCTTAGACCCAGATCCAAAAAGAAACATAGGCATTTCAGTGATGAGGGTTGCAACATCTAACTTTTAGAAGCCTTGAAAAATCACAAAGTCTGAGTTAAGCACTTAGACTCCCTATACAATACATGGGGAAAGGTAACACCTGAGAATGGGCTCCACAAAAGTCAACACCATGCAGGAAGCTGCCAATCAGATGTCAACAAGAGGTATTTGTCCTAAACCCTGCTCTTCGCAAGGAGTTTGGTGCCTAAATCTGGGCTTGCGGGGCGGGGGGCACCCCACCAATCTCTGCTTATGATCCACAACCAGGAACATCTCTCCTGGAGTCAGGTGGCTTAAGTATCTCAGTTGTTTCTTGAAAGAATGGCTTAGGCACCTGCCTAGCTCCACACAAAATGGCTAGCAGGACCCCATATAACCTTTAGTCTTAGTGTTAGAGCACTCACCTGGGATGTGGCAGTACCCCTGTTCAATTTCCCCCCCCCCACCTCATGAAGAGAAAGGATTTGAACAGGGGAGTCCCACCTCTCCAGTGACTGCCCTCACCCACGAGCTACAAAGTCATTCTGTCTCTGCTCCAATTATTTAATTAAAGAATGGTTTAAACAAGAAAGATTGAGAAAGACCCACCTCAGAATATCCCATAGTCCAATGGTTAGAGCACTCACCTGAGAGGTGGGGGATCCCTGTTTAAATCCCATCTCATCAGGACAAGAGGGGAATTAAACCAAGGTTTTCCACCTCTCAGGTGAGTAACCTAACCATTAGGCCAAAGATTGGGGGATAGCTCTTTCCTCCCCTCTGTTTTGTGTAGCACTCAGCAACCTCTGAAAACACTTATTGGGCCAGCCCAGCAGGTGAGATAAGCAGGGTAGGCCTATCTCCACCTGGTTTGAGGACCACCGTGGAGCTTGGGAGGGCGAGGGGGGGAGAGGAGGCTAATAGGCATCAGCACTGAGGCAATAGTGCATGTGAGACAAGGTAGAACCCTCGGTGTCTAGGGAATTTGTACAGGGAAAATGTAAGCGAGGAGTGAATTCAGGAGCTTACAGGGTTAGGCAGCAGCTGAGCAGGAGTTTTGTGGATCACAGTGGTGCTTAAAAGTGGGACATTTGTGGACCCAGGCTGAAGTGCTTTCCTGAATGGGGGCCTTGATGCACTTGACAGGTGGGGTAAGAGCTCCCCCTTCTCTTTCAACTTGCTTTACCCAGTGCCAGTCACTTGCTCCTGTGTTTCTGTTGGTGCTTACTTGAAATACGTCATTTTATATCCTTGGGTAGAGAAATGAAACAATAAAATGCCTGGTGCATGGGCCTCTTGCCTGGATAGATCTTCCTGCTCTGCTTGGCCTTACCTGGAAGCAGGACAGCAGTGACATTAACCAGCTTTCTGCTCTGATTAATTGTTAATTCTGTCCTGAAATTTCAAAAGCACTACATTTTGAGGGGTTTGGTACATCCAAAAATGAAGGTCTCTTTGCCAAAATGCAAAAATTCCCACCACTATCCTAGTTGAGCTCACCTAAGTAGTACGTAGGATTTAAATTTGTAAACAAACTTAATTTCCAGAAACTCTAAAATGTAGGTGAATTTACCTGGGCCTAAATGTTCTCCTCAGCAAAATAGGAGGGGGGTCTTCATGTTTGATAGTTTTACCATCATTCTGCCTTTTCATTAGGGCCCAGTCCTACAGCCCTTTCTCACACAAGTGATTCTATCAACTGGAATAGGATCACTCGCATGAGTAAGTGTTGCAAGATCACATTTAACAATGCCACGAAATCAAATACTGGGTTGTATTGCAGAAATTAAATATATATATAAATTAATTCGCTATGTTCCGAATCAGTATACTTAGGATATAAAAAGGTCAAATCCTGCTAGGCATATACACACAAGCAATCCCATTGACTTCAAGTGAATAAGGCAAACATGATTTGCCCAAAAGATAGTACCTCTGGTTTTGGAAGTAGTGTTTGCTCAGAGGAGCACGACTGATGAAATACTAAGGTTTGCTGATTTGTCAGGACTCAGGGCTTGTTCTTACAGATCACTCAATGTATAAGTGATATAGCTGGTTGGAAAACTGGACCATTTTCCTGCAAAACACGTGACTGTAATTTCCTCCCCCATCCAATCAAAACATTTCAAAAAGATTGTAAATTCAGCCAGCTCTAACAAATGATCTTTGCTAACCCACTAAAACACCAAAGATTTGACATGACCACTTTCTACTAATGTCACCCAAAGCCACATCTGACGAAGTGCGTATTCACCCACGAAAGCTTATGCTCCAATACTTCTGTTAGTCTACAAGGTGTCACAGGCCCCAAAGCCACTGTCTCTCATGTGGTAAGCTCACAAAAGGAACTCTCCCAGTTCCTTAACTACTGTACCTTATTTTGAATCCATATCATTTCAAAAGAATCTGTTCTTGAAACGGACATTACCAACTCAGGTGGAAAGGCTCACCCTGCCCCCCAATGACTTCTTAAAACATAATATGGAATAGATTAAGCCTTACTTGTCGGGGAGATCTACAGTTTTTTAACCCCTCTCCATACAAAATAGAATTTACTATAAGAAAGATATGAAGTTCATATCTTTCCCATATTATTATATTAATGCAGATGAGGATTTTTTTGTTTAAAATGACTCTGCATTTCACTGGAGAGGGAATATACCTCAAGCAATGATATATCTTGTACTATCCCTGGTTCCACAATTCTTGCACAGCAAATCAAATCAGGAATACTATAGGAATGCTGCAAAAACCTTTATGGCCTAAGCTGCTTGTTAAATTATTTTGAACCACAAGTTGTTTTCCATAGCAGTATATATTTGAAGGAGGCAAATATTTCAGAAACATCCTTTAGTTTAACCCAATGGTTTATTTATGTAATGGGGAGAAAACCTCACAAAGATCTCAAAACTGCAGATCAAGTTACAAATAAATAAAATAAAGTATCTAGGAGCTGAAAAGCCTGATATACCTTCTTTGTAATAGATTCCCAACTCCTGCACAGGCTTACACGGTCTAACACTTTACTACCAGTAGTCCCATTGATGTTAATGGAACTATTAATTGTAGTTAAGCACATGTATTTGCAGGATCCAGGCCTAACCCATCAATTAGGGTGACCAGATGTCCCAATTTTATAGGCACAGTCCTGATATTTGGCCCGGGCTCTCTTATATATGCGCCTATTATCCCCTACCCCGTCCCGATTTTTCACACTTGCTGTCTGGTCACCCTAACACAATTCATCTGACCTAACTCACAATATGTGAAGTGCTTTGAGATCCGCAGATAAGGGGTTAAGTGTTTCATTTATTATTTAAAATAGTTTGTGTTTAATTCATTGGCATCTGCGGAATTGGGCTTTATAGATCTATAGAGAACGCTGGACAGCTTTATATGGAAGACACGACAGCAGTGCAAAGTCCGTCCCTAGTACAGGGCTTGTTGCGCCAGTCCCCAGTGGCAACAGGCCGTTTAGGCAGTAGAAGCCGGGGAGCCGAGCCAGCCACTCGCAGGCGGGATGCGCGCAGCCCAGGGAAGAAGAGCCCAGCCCCTGCAGGGGCTGGCAAGCTGTTGAGTGTCAGAGTCAGGGAACGCGCTCCTCTGCGAGCCGGCTCCATTCCCGGCAGGAGAGCAGGGAGAGCCCCGCCCCGCGCCCGGCCAGGCAGGGAGGCGGGCCCGGCCCGGCCCTGCGGAGCGGTGCTGAAGTTGCTCGGCATGGTGGAAGTTCCGCGGCCGGGGGAGGCCAGGGCTGCGGGCGGCTGCCCTCGGCGCAGGTGAGGCGCGCGCGGCATGCAGCCGGCCGCGGGGGCATAGCGAGCGCCCCGGCCAGCCCAGCGCGGACTCTCTGGCGGCGGCGGCGGCCCTACAGCCCGAGCCGCGGGACCTGCTGCGCAGGTAATGGCCTGCGCCCTGCTGCTGCTTCTGGCCTGTGGCTTGCTGGGTCAGTGCCAGCAGGAGCCCCAGACCCCGGACTGGAGGATGACCCTCAAGACCATCCGGAACGGGGTGCACAAGATAGACATGTACCTGAACGCGGCTCTGGATCTCCTGGGAGGAGAGGACGGCCTGTGTCTGTATAAATGCAGCGACGGTAATAACTTCCTACCAAAAGCCCAGCGCGGGGGAGGGAGGCGCTGAGCTCCCCGCAGAGGTGGGCCTGGGTTTTTGGAGAGGGTTGGAGCCCAACTTCGCAGCGGATTCCTTTCCAAAAACATACTAAATGATGGCAACGAAAACTAAATCTGTCTCTAAAAACTCTCTCTGAACTCCGGGGGAGTTCAGTTCCAGATGTCCTGGCTTGGGTCCCTTTCTAGGGGCAACAGATCAGTTTCCAGGTAAAATGTTAGACATCTGGTTAGGATTAATGCATTCAGAACCATGACATCATCTGAGGCTTTGGTTTAGGAATTTCTCTTACCCTAATGTACCATCATATAAAGATTTCTCTCTTTGCCACCATCAAACCCAGAAAAGAACAAAAACTGTCCGTTTCTACATTTTGATAACTGATTTTTGTGGCAGCCTGACATCATTAATATCTTGTCTGGAACTTTTTAAAAAAATTGTATGTTAAAAATAGGGTTATGTACAGCCCTTTCTTCACACCAATCTTCGGTATTACAGGGTTTCATTTCCATATCTTGAAGATAATGTATAGTGTCTACATTGTACTCATAAGTCTGACACAGGATTGGTTGTCAGTGATTTGTTAACTTTCATGATGGTGTTTAATGTTTTTGTCTTTAGCAACCCTAACTTGCTCTAGTTTAATAGTAATAAAACTGTTTTGCTGCACTCTTCAAAGTGACCACTCTTCTCACTGTAGTTAGTTGCCACAGGTGTAATTTCGTACTTTCATAATTTCAAGGGTCTTTTTTTCATATACAAAAAGTCTGAAAAACATCAGATCCTAGTACAGCCAATAAGCGTAGAACGGTAAAGAGTTTATTCCCTTAAGTGCCAATACTTCTGTAATAATGTTCCCTGAAACTTCCATCCGATTTGCTATTCCAAATTCAATACCAAAATGAGGACCTGTTAGGTGACTGTAGAGAAGTTACTCGATTTAACAAACACACAATTTCCAGAAGTTTAATGAAAAACTTAGAACATGATTTTAGTGAAACTTGCTTTAGCTTAATACCTATTACTTAAGTTAACATGTGATATTTGCACTGGTAAGACAAACTAATTGAATTGTGTCATTGGGCATAAATTTTTTTGCCTGGAAGGATCAAGACGGACTCCTTTCATCCAGCTATGACAAGGGCCGCCAAGAGTGGGTTCGGTCCCTGGTGAAAAAAAATTTTTGGGCCCCCCCAGCAAAGGCGGAGCGGCTAAAAATCTTTACACATATGCAACATAGTTGGGCCCCGGGCCCCCTTCCAGACTGCCAGGCCCCGGTAATTTGTACCGACGACCCCCCCCGTCGGCCCTGGCTATGACATTGCACATTTAATTAGGTATAGTGTGTGTGGGGGATTTACTTTTCTCTGCCCCTGGTATTTTTCATTGCTAGAATCAATTTAGCATATGTAATGTACTTCAGTCAGGAACTTTTTTTTAAAATAATCAATACTATTAATAACCTCAAGACATATGAAAATGTTAAAAATGGAGGATTCACTGGAATAAGCCCTTTTCAACTGGGATAGTATAAAGTCCCATTTCTTCCTTACACTAAATACATTCTAGCTATTTGAATGTACATGCCTCTCTCTGCTTTAGGAGTAGCAGTGACAGCATGCATTGCTTTCTAGCCTCCCACCTCAACACATACCGTCTCCCATGTACTCCCTTCCGTAGAATGCTTCCAGCAGTTTAGTCTCAGATGCCAAAAGCAGTTTAGCTGTAGTCTTCAAAAATTCCATATTTCTCCTTATTCTAATGTACATATCACAGTAATTTCATGGAGTTTCCCCTTTGCATGCTTTCTAAAATATCAAGGAAGCCCTGCTCAAACAGAATCAATCAATGTTGTGGTTGTACAGGAATAAGCAACAATACTTCTGTATCTTGTTCACACCAGTTAGTAGTTCTGATGTCTAAAATGAAAATTCAGAGCAGTATTTTGGATTATAGATAAGAAAAGAATGCAGAAGTGTAGGTAAATTTACTAGAACTTGTTTTTCTGCTTTTTAGTTCTTCCCTGCATATAGTACACTTCTGCCTTACCTAGTATATTCTTTGTAGGCCAGATGTTTTGAATTTGGATGCCTTAAATCAAACCAAATAAATAAATAAAAAATTAAGAGGTACTTAATACCTGTAGCTCCCCCTGACTTGCAGCTTGGTGGGAGCTCTGAATATTCAGGTGCCTAAATATGGATTTAAATGCCTTACATTAAGCATATAGTTTTGAAAACTTTGGCCTATATTATGTTAAGCAGTAAAATAGGGGTCTGTGCAGTAGCTCAAAGCAAAAGATCTGTACTCAGTGCTTTTAAAATTCCTTTTTTACAGGGTTGAAGCCTCTTCCACGTTATGGGTATAAGCTTTCACCACCGAATGGATGCGGATCGCCGCTATTTGGAGTTCATGTAAATCTCTTACCTTCATGCATTTTATTTTTTCATATTTACTTGGACTTTCATATTTAAAATGGGTTGTGAGCAATCTACTTCAAAAAGAAGCATGCTAGTTTTACACTTCCATTCTAAACATAGAAATATGCATCATATTTATAAGACCATTATGATCATTATGCAAGTGGTCAGACTAAAAGAGGCCAAAGAACCTCACCTGTTAATTTCTGCAAGAAGCCCATAACTTTTTTTGAGTTGCAGCAGATCTTTTAGAAAAAATATCCAGTCTTGATTTAAAGACTTCAAGTGATGGAGAATCTATCACATCTGTATATAAGCTGCGCTATTTGCTAAATTACTCTCACTTAAAAATGTGCACCTAATTTCTAGTCTGAACTTGTCTAATCTTCAACTTCCTGCCCTGGTGTCCACACTTCAAAAAAGTATCAGAGGGGTAGCCGTGTTTGTTGCTTTTTACAGATCCAGACTAAGAGTCCTGTGGCACCTTATAGACTAACAGACATATTGGAGCATAAGCTTTTGTGGGTGAATACCCACTTCGTCAGACGCATGTTGCATCTGACGAAGTGGATATTCACCCATGAAAGCTTATGCTCCAATACGTCTTTTAGTCTATAAGGTGCCACAGGACTCTTTGTCGCTTACTTCAAAAAAGGATGCTGAAAAACTGGAAAAGGTTCAGAAAAGAGCTACAAGAATGATATAAAGTGTGGACTGTTTGCCCTGTAGTGAGATAGTTAAGAAGCTCGATCTATTTAGTTTATTATCCAAGAGAAAGCTAAGAGGTGACATGATCATGATCTCTAAGTACCTACATGGGGAAGATATTTATGGTTGTATATTGTGTGGTTAGATTTCCTAAACCAAATATTCATGTTTTTGTTAGTTTGTAGCTGAACTTCAGCAATATTACATGGGAGAAAAAATTAGTCACTACTAGTAATAGATAGGGTCCTACCAAATTCACAGTCCATTTCGGTCAATTTCATAGTCTTAGGATTTTTTTTTTTTTTTAAAGCAAGTTTCATGATTTCAGATATTTAAATCTGAAATTTCAGTGTTGTAACTGTAGGGGTCCTGACCCAAAAGGGGACTGTGGGGGAGGGGGAAATTGCAAGGTTATTGTAGGGGGGTCATGGTATTGCCATCCTTACTTCTGCACTGCTGCTGGTGGCAGCGCTGTCTGCAGAGCTGGGCAGCTGGAGAGCGGCATTTGCTGGGTGGGTGCCCAGCTCTGAAAGCAGCACCACTGCCAGCAGCTGCGTAGGAGTAAGGATGGCATGGTATGATATTGCCACCCTTACTTCTGTGCTGCTGCTGGCAGTGTGGTTTCTTCAGAGCTGGGTGCCTGGGCCAGCAGCTGACGCTCTCTAGCCACCCAGCTCTGAAGGCATCGCAGAAGTAAGGCTGGCAATACCACGAACCCCCTACAATAACCTTGCAACCCCCCATAATCCCCTTTTGAGTCAGGACCCCAGTTTAAGACACTCCAGCGAAATCTGTATAGTATAGGGTAAAAATACACAAAAGATCCGATTTCACAGGGGGAGACCAGATTTCATGCTCCGTGACCCGTTTTTCATGGCTGTGAATTTGACAGGGCCCTAGTAATAGACTAGTTTACATTCATAAACATCCAGTTACATTTTTCTTCGGTACCCTAGAATATTAGAGGAATGATATTAAGTGACTGAGCATTCAACAAGCAGTCCCTCTCCTGCCCCCTCCTCCCCCCCGGAGACCTAAGACCTGCAGTGGACGAAATAGAATATTTTCTGATTTAAAACCAAGAACATTGGGTTGGCCTAATGGTACCACTCTGCCCTGTGATGGGAGAATCCTGGGTTCAGTTCCTCTCTCACTGTCCATGCCAGTAACATTTTGCTTGATATTTGGAGTAGCGGGTAATGCTTTTTTTTTTTTTTTTTTTTTTATTTTTTTAACCATATTGATTCAACGGTGCATAGAAGGCAGGCAATTTTTACCAATCCCGATGCAATAAAATTATTTTGTTGGCTTGAATACTAACCTTGATTTTGTTCCTTTATAGTTTGACATTGGTATCCCTTCGATGACAAAGTGCTGTAATCAACATGACAGATGCTATGATACCTGTGGCAATAGAAAAAATGATTGTGATGAACAGTTTCAGTATTGTCTCTCCAAGATCTGCAGGGAAGTACAGAAAACATTAGGAATATCAGAGAGTGTACAGGGTAAGGCAGAAAAATAGCATGCAAGTTATACTGAGTTGATCTCTTAATGAAGTTGTATAAAGACTCAAACTCATAGACTTTAAGGCCAGAAGGGACTATCATGATCCTCTAGTCTGACCTCCTACAACTGCAGGTCACAGATCCTCCCCCACCCACTTCTGCAGTAGGCCTGTAACCTCAGGCTGAGTTACTCAAGTCTTGATTTAAAGACTTCAGGTTTCAAAGAATCTGCCATTTTCTGTAATTCAAACCAGCAAGACACCTTGCTACCCCATGCTACAGAGGAAGGCAAAAAACCCCTAGGATCTCTGCCAATCCGAACTGGTGGGAAAATACTTTCCCGATCCCATAAAATTCTCACAGTAAAATGACTGAGGCTAGGTCTACACTACAGCGGGGGGTCGACCTAAGATACGCAACTTCAGCTACGTGAATAGCGTAGCTGAAGTTGCGTATTTTAGGTCGACTTACCTGGCTGTGAGGATGGCGGCAAGTCGACCGCTGCCGCGTCGCCATCGACTCCGCTGCCTCCTCTTGCCACGGTGGATTTCCAGAGTCGACGGCAGAGCGATCAGGGATCGATTTTATCGCGTCTTCACTAGACACGATAAGTCGATCCCCAATAGACCGATTGCTACCCGCCGATCCGGCGGGTAGTGAAGACGTGCCCTGACTAAATAGTCCCTTCTAGCCTTAAGTAAATGAAACGATGAATTCACACTACTGTGGCTCTTTTGGATAATGTTAATTGCTAATTTGGCTCCTGAATCACTGAGGTCTCAGTATAATGGAGTTAGACCATGACGGCGTGGCGAGAGCCAGACACACACACCTGGGGTGGGGGGGGGAAATCTCTGTAGTAACTCAGGGCCCTCCCCATCTAGTATCCAGTCTCTGGCCATTGGAGATATTTGCTAATAGCAGTTGTGGGTGGGCCATAAGTTATTGTAGACAATCTCATCATATCCCCCCCTCTGTGAATTTATCAAGCTCAGTCTTGTAAACAATGGTAATAACACTTCCCTGTGTCTACTGGAAATACCTCATCTGATGCATCCTAGGACTGTATTAGCCTCTGGCCACATCACATTGTCATCCTGTGATCGACTAGTACACCTAGGGCTTTTTCTGCCTCTGTCACTTCCAACTGATAGGTCCTCAGCTTATAGCAAAAACTCTTGTTGTTAGTCCCCGCGTTCATGGCTTTGCACTATTAAATTTCATCCCATTTTTATTGCTCTAGTTTTCAAAGATATCCAAATTGTCTTGTATGATGTCCTGGTTCTCCTCCATATTGGCAGTATCTGCAAACTGTATCAGCCCACCCCCACTTTTTGTGCCAAGGTCATGAATAAAAATGTTAAATAAGATTGGTCCCAAGACCAGTCAATGAGGAACTCCAGTAGTAACCTTCTTGCAGCCTGACAGTTCACCTTTCAGTATGACCAATTGTAGCCTCCCCTTTAACCAGTTCCTTACCCACCTTTTGATTCTTATTAATTATTCTTATATTAATTTCCATCTTTTTCAATTTAACTAATAGTTCCACATGGGAAATTATATCAGATGCTTTACTGAAATCCAAGTAGATTAGATCTACTGTATGTCCTTTGTCTAGAAAATTCACTTTTATTCTCAAAAAAAAAAAAAATTAAGTTTCTCTCTATGTGCTTAACTACTCTCTTTCAGAATTTGTTTTATGACCTTGCATACAGTTGAGATCAAACTAACAGGTCTATAGTTTCCTAGATTGTTTCCCCACCACACACACACACTTTTCCTTAAATATAGGAATTATATTTGTAGTTCTCCAGTCATAGGGTATGACCCTCTTAATTTTTTATATTCATTAAAATTCCTTGCTATTGGGTTTGCAATTTCATGTGTCCCTTCCTTTAATATTCATGAATGGAGATTATCCACCTTCCCCCCAATTTGGTCCCATTAAGATGTTTGAGTTCAGCTTCCATCTCAGATGTGGGGATTTCTAGTTTCCACATTCTCCTTCCCATTAGCCACCCTACCACTGTTCCCAGACTCCTCATTACTCTTATTAAAAACTAAGGTAAAACATTCGTTTAAGTGTTGGACCATACCTAGATTGTCTTTGATCTCTACCTCATTCTCAGTGCTTAGTAGTCCCATGTCATCTTTGTTTTCATTTTATTTTTATGGCTAAAGAACCTTTTACTATTTGGTTTAACTTCCTTTGCAAGGTCCAATTCTGTTTGGCTTTTGGCAGTTCTCACTTTTCCCCTATGCTTTTTGACCTTCAAGAGAGAGCCTACAAGAAACAGAAGAAGGGATGGATCAGCAAGGAAAGTGTTCTGCTTTCTTTTAACAACTTGTTCGAGATACTTGTACATCCAGTTTGGCCTGCAACCCTTCCCTATGAATTTTTCCCCCTTCCTTGGGTTGCAGGTTTCAGATAGTTTCTGCAACTTTGACTTAAAGTGCAGTAGATCTAATGTGCCTGTTACTGCCTGCTCCTCCCCTTCATTTTCTAACTCCACAAATCCGTTCCCAAGTTCTGTTTCCTCTTGCACTAGCCAGTCTTTTCCTCTGCCTTATAGTCACATGCTTCTGAGCACTTTCATCCTCCAGCAGTCTGCCCTCACAGTTCTCTGATCCAGAATGCATCTGAAAATCTTGATGTTTCCCATCAGCCTTTTCTCTCCTTCCCTTCATCATCTGCTCAAACCCCTTTCAAAACTCAACCATAGATTCTAGTTGCATCTCTAAACATCAGACCATCTCTTCCATCAGCGCTATCAGGTGGCATTTCATACAAATGCACCTTTCAGGTAGCTTCTCCAGAATAACATACATACCACAGCTTCCATATCTAGTCATTTTCTTTTCTAGTCTATTCTTCAGATCACTACCACTGCTGCCTCTGTAGCTGTTGTAGCCTTCTCTCCTAAGCACCTGTCATGGGGGCAACACACCCTCCCCTGTTTTCATCCGTTTGCTGTTGGGCTGGCTGGCTGCCTTTATAGGCATGCTGATTAGAAAAGCTCTGCCCCCAATCAAGGTTCAGGTGTGATCAAAAGCTCTGCTTCTCTCACAACACACTGCCCCCCCCCCCCCCCCCCCTTAGACTCTGCAAACTGAAAACAAACCCGCAAACAAACGAACACTTTCAAGGGCTCAGTCGCAGGAACAGGGGCTTGGCTTGCCTCCCTTCTCCTCCTCCTAACAGATCTCCACTCAAAGTCCCCTGTTTTCACCTGGTTGTGCAGTGGCACAGCAGCCAACACATTGGCATGGATTGACTAAACTAATTGAAATTGAAACTGGGAGTAGTAATAAGCTAATTTTATTTCACTTTCCCTCCATATTTTTTTTACAAGAGGAGATCTGTGTATTTTCTGGCTTTTACATATGTAGGGCTAATAAAAAAGGTAGAGGAAAGGAAAAAATTATCTTCAAAGAACTAAAACTAATATTTTTCACCTCCTACACCAAGGTCCCCTAAAATATTACCCTGACTTGTATCTTTGTTAAACTGAAGTCAAAAGTGAAAGACTATGAAAAGAACTAGGCTAACTATTGAACCTTGTGTCTTTTAATTCATGATTCCCTTTAATGCGCATGAAAACCAGCAGTACAGCTTCATAAAAATGACTATAATCAGGTTATTTGCAGTGCTGCAGCAATATAAATATTTTTTGTTGCATTGGATGTGATTTAACCTGCTACTACATGTGACAGAATAAATTGCAGGCAAATGCTGAACTGTTTCCTTTAACAAATAAAATACAGTTACCTCTTAGGTAGAGAACATTAATCTTGCTGCATAAATGTTCCTTTCAAGTTTGAATTTTACTCTTAACAGGGTGGGCTCCAGTTACTGAAAAATCCAGAGAGACTAATGTTCTCTTTCCAAATAATTGAGTTGTTGGTTATAGACTCCTAATAAATTTATTTGCCAGTAAAACACATTCCAAAATCCAGTGGCATAGCTGTTACTCTTGTGACAAGAGAATAGGCCTCTTCAATTTTGCATTATGTTATATGTTAGAATTGGTGGTGCTATTTTTAGTATTCTCTTAGTGACCAATCTTACTCCCATTGAAGTCAGCAGAAGTTCTGACAGGGACTTCAATAGGAGGAGGATCAGGCCTTAAGGTAAGTAGGGGCGGAAAGTAATGCTTTGTGCAACAGCAGTAGAGGGTGGAATTATCTTTAAAGAACAATACCATGTTTTGATCTGACTTCTGTGGGAGTGCATGCTATATTACTTTGTGATCGTAGATCCAGTATTGTAAATGTGCAATATCTGACAGGTCCAGATTGTTAAGTGCTGTGCTGAATCAGGGCCATATTGCTTGTTATCATGACTAGTCTGATTAGGAGCAATATGTTTGCAGGATGAGGCCCTCAAAGTAGTTTGACTGCAGTGAAGTATTTGTCAGAACTAGTGAGAGATCCGCCATTAAAGCCAGAGGCATAAAACTCATTTCTTTTTCACATAAATAAGGGCAACACTAAGATGTATTATTACAATTACATTTGTATTAAATTTTCCACAAAAATGCATCTACTTTATAAATGTTAATTTTGTTAGAAGTTGAAATATGAAACAGACACATTGTTGAAATTAGAGTTGAAAATGATCATACATTCATCAGATTATGTTCATCCTTGTGCTCTGGCAAGTTGAAAACAATCTTTAAGAAAAATGTCTGAGTAACTAATGTTTAATTATTACAATATTCTATTAAAGTACTTCTAAAGTGATCCTATACTGATTTGATCTCCTCTTGTGTCTTGCAGCCTGTGAATCAACTGTTCAGTTGTTATTTGATGCAGTTATACACTTAGGATGTAAACCATACCTGGATAGCCAGAGAGCTGCATGTATGTGCCAATATGAGGACAAGACAGATCTATAAAAGAAGACACTGATGAAAGCTCATGAGCTAGAACTAAGAAAAAGACAATATGTACGGAGAGCCAGTGTTCTGTTACAAAGCTGTTTTATTTCATTTTCACAA